CCTTTTCTTTGTTGAAGAGGGTCTGTGCAATCCTTCTGCCTAGTCCGCCATCTTGCCCCGCCTCCTATTCCATATGGTTTTAATGGCTGATATTTCAAAAGCAGATCATCAAGACTTTCTTCCAAGGCAACTCTGAGCCAACTTAAACCCTGAAACTTTTGGTTAGCAGTTGAGAGCTTTAACCATTGCACCATGCAGGGACTCTTAAATTTTAAGATAACTCGGAACTGAAACAAACTCACTGCCATCGAGTTGGATCTGAGTCATAGTGACCCCTCCTTGGATTTCTGAGGTGGTATCACTATGGAAGTAGATTGGCCGGTCTTCCTTCTGAGGAGTGGCCAGTGGGTTTGAACCACCAGCCTCTGGTTAGCAGTCAAATGCCTTAGGCACTTCACCACCAGAGCTCCCAAACTTTAAGAGAGGATGATTGAAATATTCAAGTCTGAGGAATAAATAGAAGAAAAGTGAAGAGAGTCTAATGGACTTGTGAGACACCTTCAAGTGGGTGAATATAAGCATTATGGGAGTTCCAGAAAGAGAAGAGAGTAGGGAAGGGACAGAAAGGATATTTGAAGAAATAATGGCCAAAACCTTCCCAAATTTGATGCTATATGTGAATCTAACCATAGAAGAAGTTAAACATATTCTACTAGGATAAACTCAAAAGAGTTGCACATTATGAAACCTTATAATCAAACTCTCAAAGACCAAAGACAAAGACAGAATTTTGAAAGCAGCAAAAGGAAAGCAAATCACATACAAGAGATCCTCAAGAAGGTTAAGCACTAATTCCTCCTCAGAAACTATGGCAGCCAAAAAGGGACCAGGTTTGCTGGTCTGATAGATCCTGGTGAAACCCCTGAATCTATGGCCCCTAGGTGCCCTTCAGGTCTAAAACTGAACACACTCCCGTGGCTTCCAGCCAAACAACCAGGCATATGAGCTGAACATTTACATCAGGTAGATACACTCCTTAGAGAGATCAATCACGGGAGAACAGAAGGGCTGTGTATGCACAGGGAGACAGCTCAGGGGGCAGGAGTGCATGGGAGGGAAGGACACAGGGAAGAGGTAACTGTGGGGAGGAAGTGGGAAGACAGCTGTTGCATTGTTGGAGATTACAGTCAATGTCATGAGACAAAGTGTATGTGAACTGCTATATGGAAAATGAATTTGCTCTGTAATCTTTCACCAAAATCACAGTAAAAATTAAAAAAGAAAAGAAAAGAAACTACTGAGGCCAGAAGGCAATGGAATGTTTAAAGTGTGAAAAGAAGGAACTGTAAACAAGGAATTCAATGTCCAGGAAAAACTGTTCTTCAAAATGAGAGCACAGACCAGTAGAATAGAACAGAGATTCCAGATGTGAACCTCACACGTATAAAAACACAATGCAATGCACTGCCATCTAGTTGGATCAGACTCACTGTTACCCCTCCTTGGGTTTCCGAGGCAGTATCTCTACGGAAGTAGATTGTCCAACCTTACTTCTGAGGAGTGGCTGGTGGGTTTGAACCTCCAGCCTTCTGGTTAGCAGTCAAATGCCATAGGCACTAGGCCACTAGAGCTCCTAAATTGTTGCATTGGCTGGGAATTGAACCCGGGCCTCCCGTGTCACAGGTGAGAATTCTACCATTGAACCACCAATGCTACTCCCTCACATGTATACTCAATTGATTTTCAACAAGGTGCCAAGACTATTCAATGGAGAACGGACAGTCATTTCAACCAATGATGATGGGAAAATTGGATGTCCTTGCACCAAAAACAAATTCAAAGTGCATCAAATGGTTAAAAACCTTATATATTTTTTGTTATTGGTCATACAATGCATCTAGATGTAATTTCTGACAACAAGGGGGAGAGAGAGAGCTGCACAGGGACAGAGTTATTGTAAACTCTTGAAGTTAAGTTGGTATTAATTAAAAGTAGATTGTTATAAATTTAGAGTATCAGTGTAAGATCCATGGTAACCACAAAGAACATGTCTAAAAAATAGGTACACAAAGGAATTAAGAAGGGAATAAAATGTTCACAGCAAAAAATCAGCTAGTTCTTTGACAAAGGACCAAAACCTATTAAATAGGGAAAAGATAGCCTCGTTAACAAATGGTGCTGGTGAAATTGGATATCGACCTGTAGAAAAATGAAACAAGACCCATACCTCACCCCATACACAAAAACAAACTCAAGAAGAGTTCCGGTAAGATGGCGGAATAGGCAGAAAGACTGCACAGACCCTCTTCAACAAAGAAAAGGGAAACCAATTAACACAGACACAGAAGATAATCCTGGACCTCTGAGCCTTGAAGGGAAGGATATAGAAGTGGACTAAACCTCAACTAGCAGAAGAATTTGTAGGAAAATACCAAAAAAAGAGACACACGGAGCTGCGGTCTACAGCGATCCTGAGCGATCCTGATGGCACAGACAGCTTGGAGATAAATGAGTTGGTGGTAGGACCTAAGAATTAACCTAAAAATCATCCCTGCTAGCCAGAGACTGCATGGAGCACTGCTCTGGTGGCTGGGGAATAAAAGGCGAAGCAGCAGTGAAGAGGAAGGCGGGGTGAGCTGTGGACTTATGCCTGTCTGGAAGGTGCAGCCATTTTGAATGTTTACAAATGGCTTGACCATTTTGGATATTTAAAGAGACAGCACTCCCCCAGATTCCAGGGGCTTAAGAACAGATTCCATTTGCCAGTAACCCCAAGGACACTCTGGACCTGGACGACTGAAAAGGTGTCACATTCCCCTTGTTACTTTTATACCCCACACCCTTGTGGTGAACAGAGGTGCTGCCATCCCACACTCCCACCTACCTTCTGGGCTCGCAGGAACTCCATCCCAGTCTGCATGCTCAGACGGAGTCTGGGTACCCTGCCCTGTCCTCCCTGATTTTTTTCTTTTTCTCTTTCTTTTTGTGGTTTTTAGTTTGCTTGTATTTGTCTGTTTTAAAACTACTACTATTATTAATATTTTCCTCCTTTTTACTATTATTCTTTATTCTTCCCCTCCCAGGTCCTAGTTTTCAGCTTTTTTTCTTTTGCCTATTCCTGGTTGCAAAACTTTTTTTTTTTTTTTAACTAAATTTTCCCCCCTTTTTTCTTGTGGTTAACCCCATTCCTTGTTTTTCTTTTTGTATTTTTCCCATTTTTTCCTCATTATTCTCCTTCTCTACCTTTTTTTCTCTTAGTGCCCTATCCGTAGATATTACAAGTTTTCTCTTTTTCATTTTTATTTTTCTTCTTTTTCCCTTTATTCTTTTTCTGGTTACTGTTTCTGTGTGATTACATGGTGTATTTTTTTGTCCACATGTTTTTAGTTTTTTGATGGTTATTTAATTGTAATTTTTGTCTAATGGAGTAGGAGACAACACCAATCCCCATAAGACACAACTACACCAACACCTCCTGCAATTTCACTTACTGGATGAGAGCCACGACCTCCTTTGCCACCAACAGGCCAATGATACAAAACCACCATGAAGACCCTGAATCACCCCTGGCTGATCTTCACAAACAGTTAACAGAGATTTAAATACAACAACACTATAATGTCTCGGAGACAACAGATCATCACAGTCTACACAAAGAAGCAAGATAAAGTGGTAGAAACAAGGGAGCAGGATACAGACCCAGAACACATCCCTGAGGAAGAAGCAGCATTGGAACTCTTGATAAGGAATTCAAAAGAATGAT